AAGATATTCCACACTAACAGAAACCAAAAAAGAGGTGGTATAGCCATCTAATATAAGACAAAATAGACTTTAACACAAAAACTGTTAGAAGAGCAATGAACGACACTATGTAATGATTAAGGGATCAATACAACAGGAAGATGTCACTATGATAAATGTAAATGCACCCAATTACTGGGCTATTGGCTATTTAAAACAAATGTTAGTAGATACAAAGGAAGATATAGGCTCTAATGCAATAGAAACAAGGGACATCAACATTGTACTTTCATCAGTGGATAATCAAGTAGACAGAAAGTCAACAAAGAAAGAACAGAGCTAATCAACACTGTGAGAGAAAACGGACCTAACTGATATCTGTAGAACGTGTAATCCCACAGTTGCAGAATGCACATTTTTTTCATCAGTACATGGAACTTTCTCTAGGACAGAACATATGCTAGGCCATAAAGCAAGTCTCAGCAAACTCAAAAAAACTGAAATCACACCATGCATTTTCTCTGACCACAATGGAATGAAACTGGAAATCAGTAACTCAAGAACCTCTAGACATATGCAGATACATGGAGACTGACAACGTGCTCCTGGATGAACTGTGGGACATAGCAGAAATCAAAAGAGAAATAAAAAAATTTCTGGAAATAAATGAAGATGACAATACAACATATCAAAACTTATATGATACAGAAATAGCAGCATTAAGAGGGTAGTTTATAGGGGCTGGCTCTGGGGCATAGCTGGTAAAGTCGCAGCCTGCAGAGCCAGCATCCCATATGGGCACTGGTTTGAGCCCTAGCTGCTACACTTCCAATCCAGCTCTCTGCTATGGCCTGGGAAAGCAACGGAAGATGGCTCAAGTCCTTGGGCCCCTGCACCTGTGTAGGAAGACCCAGAAGAAGCTCCTGGCTCCTGGCTCCTTGCTTTGGATTGGCGCAGCTCCGGCTGCTGTGGCCAATTGGGGAGTGAACCAGCGGATGGAGGATCTCTCTCTCTCTCTCTCTCTTTCTCTGCCTCTCCTCCTCTCTCTGTGTAATTCTGCCTTCCAAATAAATAAATAAATCTTTTTTAAAAAGAGGATAGTTTATAGCTATCAGTGCCTACATCAAGAAATTAGAAAGATAGCAAATAAATGAGCAATCAATGCATCTCAAGGACCTGGAAGAACAATAAGAAACCAATCCTCAAATCAGTAGGAAGTAATAAATAATTAAAATTAGAGAAGAAATAAACAAAATTTAAGGTAGCATGATTTTTAAATGACCAAAAACACAGTAATTACATGTAATATACTTTAGGGATTTCATTTTTCATTCATCTTTATGGAGATTTAGAATTCATTCCTTGTGCTTAAAGGAGATGTTTAATTGAGAAATAAACATTAAAGTACAAAAAAAAAAACAAAAAATACAAAAGATCAGTGAAATGAAGAGCTGTTTTTTTTTGAAAAAAACAAAAAAAAAAAAAAAAAAAACAAAAAACTGATACATCGTTGACCCAATTAACAAGAAAAAGAGGGAGAAGACCCAGAACAATAAAATCAGAGATGAAAAAGGAATGTAATAACAGATACCATGAAAATTAAAAAGAATCATCAGGAGCTACTACGAAGAGCTATATGACAATAACTGTGAACCTAGAAGAAATGGATAGATTCCTGGACCTATAAATCTACCAAAAATGAGTCAGGAAGACATAGAAAACCTAAACAGACCAATAACCCAGACACAGACTGAATCAGCAATAAAGAAAAACACAGAACCAGATGGCTTCCCTGCAGAATTCTACCAGACATTTAAAGAAGAACTAATTCCAATGCTTCTCAAGCTATTCAAAACAACTGAAAGCGAGGGAATGCTCCTAAACTGCTTCAATGAAGACAGCATTACCTTAATTCCTAGACCAGAAATAAATACAACAAAAAATGGTAACTATAAACCAATATCCAAGATGAATATAGATGCGAAAATCCTCAACAAAATATTAGCTAATTGCATCCAGCAACACATCAGAAAGATCATTCATCTGGACCAAGTGGGATTTAGCCGTGGCATATAGGGATGGTTCAACATTAACAACTCAATGAATGTGATACATTACATTAACAAACTGAAGAACATAAACCATTTGATTATCTCAATAGATGAAGAAATAGCACTTGATAAAATACAATATTGTTTAATGATGAAAACCTTAAGCAAATTGGGTATGGAAGGACATACCTCAACACAATTGAGGCAATTTATGATAAACCCACAGCCAATATCTTATTGAATGGGGAAAAGTTGGAAGCATTCCAGAACCAGACAAGGATTCCCACTCTCACCATTGCTATCCAATACAGTTCTGTAAGTTTTAGCTAGAGTTGTTAGGCAAGAAAAAAATCAAAGGAATACAAATTGGGAAGGAGGAAGTCAAACTATCCCTATTTGCAGATGACATAATTCTATACATAGGGGACCCAAGAAACTCCACTAAGAGACTACTGGAACTCAAAAAAGAGTTTGGTAAAAAGTGGGAGGATACAAAATTAACAGAAAAATCAATAGCCTTTGTATACAGAGACAATGCCATATCTAAGAAATTCTAAGGTCAATCCCATTCATAAATGGCTACAAAAAATTAAATACCTTGGAGTAAATTTAACCAAGATGTCAAAGAACTCTATAATGAAAATTGTAAGACATTAAAGAAAGAAACAGAAGAAGACAAAAAAAAAAAATGGAAAAATCTTCCACGTTCTTGGATTGGAAGAATCAATATCATAAAATGTCCATAATACGAAAAGTAATTACAGATCAATGTGATCCCAATCAAAATACCAATGACATTCTTCGTAGATGCAGAAAAAGTGATGTTAAAATTCATATGGAGGCTGGCACCGTGGCTCAATAGGCTAATCCTCCATCTGCGGCGCCGGCACACTGGGTTCTAGTCGCGGTCGGGGCACCGGATTCTGTCCCGGTTACTTCTCTTCCAGTCCAGCTCTCTGCTGTGGCCCGGGAAGGCAGTGGAGGATGGCTGAAGGTAATGTGAATGATCTCTCCAAAATATGACTGGCCAATATAACTCCTTAGTCCAACTCTCTCCCATTCCTTCAAATTTGTTCCTGTAGACCAACATTTGGCCAACTCCTTTTGTAAAGGGCCACAAAGTAAATATTTTAGGGCTTGTGAGACATGTGGTGTCTGTTTCAGACTTAACTCTGTTGTGGTGCCATGGAAGTGGTCATAAATATTACATAAACAAATGGGCATGGCTGTGTTATGGTAAGACTTTATAACAGTGGGCTGGAATATGGCTGACAAGTGGTAGTTTGCCAGTGTTTTCTTCTGTCATATTTCACTCATTTATCCCATTAATATTAAGTAACTTGTCTGGGCTAAGCACCATGTTAATCACAAGGGATACAGTGCGGAGAAAGACACCTATGTTCCTTGTCCTCACAAAGCTTAACATTTAGTATGGGAGAGAAATCTTTTTTTTTTTTTTTTTTTTTTTTTAGAAAACTTGCATTAATATATAAAACTGCCACTGTGGTCAGAACTACAGGGCAAATGTAAAGAGTGCTACCAAACCAATGAGGCAGAACTGACCAGTGGCAGAGACCTTTGTCATTTAATTAAACTTGTTTCTAACTAACATGATTAAAGTTGTGGTAGAGGCTTTCCAAGGTCAGAAGAAGAAAAAGGGAGGCATTTGTCTTGGGAATGAAACATGGTTGTTATCTGCCTGCCTACGAATGCTTCAACTGTAGTCCCTATCTGCTTGTTTGTAACCATTCAGGTTCTGCTTGTTGGTACAGAGCAATGATGGTAACCCTTGCCAGACAGCAAAGAGCTCAGTATGTGTGTGGAAAAATCATAGGTAACTACCTTCACAAGTGCAGTACTGTATCAATCCTGTGGCCGCCATGTAACACTCAAATAGTCAATCAAATGTATGCATGTAACCACAGAAGGGGAGACAAAGAGGCTAAATCCATATATGAGAAAAAAAAAAAAAACCTTCTTTGTTCAGGACTCAGTCTTTCAGATAAGAAATTCCTTCTGGGCCTTATGCCGGCATTATAAAAGACTACTTCTGTTCCTTGGTGTCTTGTCCTGCTATAGGCCGAGACACAGGAGAAGGATTTCCTGAAGAATTTTGTTATTGAGAAAACATTTGAAGGGAGGGAAGATTATTCTAGGGAGAGGAATCAACATTTGAATAGACCTCATAACAGGAAAAACGCCTGGCTCATTTCAGGACCCAAGCAAGGCTAGAATGACAAAACTTAAGGAAGCTGGAGACAGAGGGAAGGGTAAGACAGTGCATTTTGGGCCACATTCAGGATTTTCAGGACTTAAAGAGAAAAAAATAGGCAGCTCAGATAAAAGCAGACATCCAGGAATCAATAACGGAAAACAAATAGTAAAATGTGGCACATTATATCTACAGACAGCTCTTACTGGGTAAAGCTTAGAAACAATGTATTTCAACCAAGAAGGTTGAAATATGTGTATGTATGTATGTGTGTGTGTGTGCAATTTTTTATTTTTATTTATTTTTTATTTAAGGTATACAAACTTTATGCTTTTCATAAATCCTAATTTAGGAACATAGTGACTCTTCCTACCCTACCCTCCATCCCACACTTCTTCCTCCTCCCTCTTCAATTCCCATTTTTATTTTATACTAAGATCTATTTTTAATTAACTTAATGTGTTTAAATTTTTAAACAACCAAATATTTTTCATTTTTTGTTTAACCATAATCACTAGGGGTTTTGTCATATTTCTGGAAGCTCATTCTAAGGTTCACAGGTAATATGACACATCTAGAGTCAGAAAGTTTTTATTTTAAATATAGGAATTAAATAAGAAATAATGGGTGAGATCATAAAGCTTAATTCTTGGCATTTAATAGGCAGTTAGAATGTATTTACTGAATCTGGATCATAATAAAATAAAGTAATTTCAGACATATTGTTCTTGATCCATACACAGTGAGTATTTTATTACCTTGAATATCATCATTGAATGTGCAATACTGGTTTCGATACTTGTTCAGGAGACGAAATGCATTCACATTGGCAAAATCTTCAAACTGAATAAGGCAATTCATACCATATCTATGGAACAAAACATTGATAGTAATAGAAGAAGTTAATGAAATAATATTTAGAGATAAACTTTTAAAATTATCCCACAGAAAAGACAAAACACTATTTTATTTTAAAGTTCCCATCTTATGGCTTAGTATAAGTATGTGATGTATAAGTATGTGATTCATTCAGCAAATATTTATTGCATGTTTACTATAGAAAAGTCACACAAATTTGACATGTGGAATAATGGAAGTGACAAAGCATGGTCCCTATCCTAAGGAATTCAAAATTTAGTAGAAATAAAAATCCTTTTGAGATAAATATAAAATACATAAAAATAACATAAAAGTGTCATAAATCAGGAATTATAGCTGTTCACAGTAACAAATGAATTAAGTTTTAGTGGACAGTTACAATTTTCTTTTTTTTTTTTTTTTTGACAGGCAGAGTGGACAGTGAGAGAGAGAGAGACAGAGAGAAAGGTCTTCCTTTTTCCGTTGGTTCACCCTCCAATGGCCGCCGCGGCCGGTGCGCTACAGCTGGTGCACCGCGCTGATCCGAAGCCAGGAGCCAGGTGCTTCTCCTGGTCTCCCATGGGGTGCAGGGCCCAAGCACTTGGGCCATCCTCCACTGCACTCCTTGGCCACAGCAGAGAGCTGGCCTTGAAGAGGGGCAACTGGAACAGAATCCGGCGCCCCGACCGGGACTAGAACCCTGTGTGCTGGCGCCGCAAGGCGGAGGATTAGCCTAGTGAGCCGTGGCACCGGCCCAGTTATAATTTTCAAAAGTAGATATGTAGAGTTTTATAAGCTTAGGGAAAGCAGAAACAAAATAACTGAGGTGAAAAGTGGAAAAGAAAAATGTGCTTAAAACATGGTAAACAGCCCTATTTGGCTACAATGGTGTGATATATGTAAGGGCACTGTGGAATTAAGTTCAGATCTTCATTCTGTTATTTTTAATTATTCCTATATGTTCTAGTTTCACCTCCATGTGTCAACGACAGCTAATCCATCAATAGATGAATGAACAAAGAAAATGCGGCATATATATACACAATGAATATTATTCAGCTATACAAAAAATAAAATCATATCATTTGCAACATAATGTTTAGAACTGGAGTACATAGTGCTGCATGAAAAACAAATACCACATGCTCTCCCTTAAATGTGGGAGCTAAAATTAAAAATTAAAAAAATAAAAAAAACAGTTATTTGAACAGTGGCCATCTCTCTATACTTAACCTGTCTCCTTGGCTCCCCACAGTCTGCATGTCTCTCTCAAAGCACTGAGACAGCACCCAAAGTCGCGCTATTGAATCTTAGCCAGGATCTCAGCCATATCCTGCAGTAACTGCTTTCATCACTTACTGGTCCACAATGTGATCCTCTCAGCTGTCTTAGTCCAATAGGATGGTATAACAAAATACCACGGATTGGGTAATTTATAAGCAATCGACATTGCTCACAGTTCTGGAAGCTGGACCACGACAATCAAGGTGGCAGTAGATTCTATGTCTGGTGAGGGCCCTTATCTCATAGTGAGGCTTTCTTGCTGGGTTCTCTCCCACATGGTAGAAGAGACACACATGATCTCTTCCGGCTCATTAATAAGGATACTAACCCCATTCCTGAGGGCTCTCATGACTTCATAATTTCTTCAAAAGTGCCACTACATTATAAGATCACATTGGTGTTTAAACTTCAACATGAATTTGAGGGTGGTAAACACAACAAATATTCTGATCATAACAGTTGTTTTAACAAATTTCTTTTATTCTCCTTGTCCCCAAGCACTCAATTCCTTACCAGTCACTACCACACTGAAATCTATGCTACAGAGAACACTCAATCTTTTCATCTATACTGAGATATTTTTGCACATTTGTTTCTCTTTCCTTTGTCTACTTGCAAAAAGTACTCTTGCATCCTTCTTTCTAACATATGGACCTCACAGTACAACTTTCCACTTCTACAGTAGCAGTTTCAATTACTCCTTCTTCACTATTTCCTTCCTGTCTCCAAGGATTCTTAGGACTCCCTGATTTTAAAATCACTTCTCTTGACTACGACAAAACCAAACCTATGGTTATGTATTAATCTTCCACCCAATGCCAAATCTTGCAGAAAAGCTGGTGCTAAATTTCATCTTCATTTCTGACTTCTTGTCAACATTATGCCTATAATTCAAGGACAGTCTCAAAACCAACACGCCATGTTATTACAGTGCAGATAAGATCTCTCCATCTGTCTAGTCTGATCCAACAAAAATCTGTTAAGTCTGTTTCCATTTTACCATTATATTATTATAAACTTGTCACTGATGAGCTATCTTTTAAAATCACCATAAAATTCACAGGCAAAAACTGGTACTAAATTTTATTGGTATGTTTTGGTGATTACTAGTGAAAGTTGGCATATTTTTCTATATCTTTGTCATTTGTAATTCTTTTTGGAAGATTATGTTTGTTAGTTAACTTTTCTATTGTGTTAGTCCTTGGCTTTATTATTTCATAGGAGGTCTTTATATATTAATAGTGCCTTCTATTATACGTATTGCAAATAGTTTTCCTAATTTAGTAAATGGTGCCATTAATCATTTAGTCAATGTTCCTCTTTGTTTTGATCAAGGAATATTAAGTTATTATACAGTCATATGTTTCAATCTATTTATAATTTCTGATTTTGATGATATGCTTATAATAGCCTTATCCACATATATTAATTTAACTATTAAAATTTTCTTCTATGGTATTACAAAGTTATAAAATAGTTAACTTCTAAATTTGGCATAATTTTATTGCTACATCATAGATTTTAAAGAAAGATAGATTAAAATTTCTGTTTGCCATATAATTAACCCAGCTACACCAGCATCATTTAACAGTTCATATTTCCTCTCATCACTTCTAATCCTATACTATATTCTATTCTATAGTAGGATCTGTTTCTGTGCTTTTCTGTTACTTTACTACTGTTAATGACAACTTTTTTACTTTATAAGATTCAAGACACACAAATATACACACATGCACATTCACTTGTTCTTCACAACCATTCTACAAAGTGGGCACAGAGGCACATCATGTTTCTATTGCTCAGTAATCGTTGTCTAGTAGTAAGGATGCATCCACTAATTTCCCTATGCAGGAAAATATGCCTGTATTTTCTCATGATAGTTTTCTCATAACTTTAATATTTAATATTATTAGTCATCCCCTATTCTTCTTTTAAGTATTTGCTTAGCTGTTACAGTGGGTTTTTCTGAATATTTATTTATTTGAAAGGTAGAGTGACAGAGAGAAAAGGAGACACAGAGTCAGAGACAGATCTTTCATTTACTGGTTTACTCTCCAAATGGCTGCAACAGCTGGAGTTGGAACAGGCTAACACCAGGAGTCCAAAACTCCACAGAGGTCTCTCATGTGCATGGCATGGACCGTCTTCTGTTGTTATCCCAGACACACTGGTAGGGAGACAGACTGGAAGTGCAGCAGCCAGGGCCTGAATGAGCAGTACTCCACTATGGGATTCTGGTGTTACGAGCAGCAGCTTAACCCACTGCAGCACAATGCCAGACCCTGTTATACAGTGCCTTAAGACCACAGACTCCATAGTCAGACCTAGAGATCAAATCTTGTCCTCACATACCGTGTATCTTTAACTCCTTTGTTTCTATTTTCCCATTGGAAAAAATGAGAATAATAAAAGGATATTATCATAAGGCTGTTATAAAGATTAAATGAAGTAACAGATGTTAAGTGCAATGAATAGCACATAAGTACTCTATAATCACTATATTTTTAAAATCTTATGGTACTAATAGAAGCCAATAGACAGTAATGAATAAAATCCACAAAAGCCTAAGAGATAATAACTGTCATCATAAATAATATATCTAGCAAAGCTACCTCCAAGAATAAGGTTAAGGGGGATCCAAGATGGCTGAACAGCGTATAGCCGCAATAATTTAATCTGCTCTGAGATATGAAAAGAACAAAGGAAGGACTACGTTTCCAGGGGTCTGACTGAAGAAGTGAAAAAACAACAAACAACTCCACGGTACAAGAAGAGAGAAGACAACTACATCACTGCAGGCAGCTATGGTGTGGGCCACCATCTTACCATGTCAAGGTAGAAAGAAATCGCCACACACCACTCACCGGTTTTGCTGAGAGTGAAATCCAGTCACCCACTGACATTCATTTCATCCTGGAGAGCTGACTGGAATCTGTGCAACTGCTGGGCTTGGAGCAGGGAAGCCATCTTGCTTCCTTTGCCTCCCTCATTCCCACAAGACCGCACTCGGCAGCACGAAGTCACACAGTGCATCTCTGTTCTCCTACCAGCATCATAGTCTGAGTCAGGGCAATGTGTGGGGCAAAGAACAGATCCCCTGCCTCCTGTTACTGTGGGAGTTTTAGGGCATTAGCCTCAGAGCCACACTCATACACCCTACATGAGGAATGGGGATTCACCTTAGCATCTGGGGGCTATCCTAGAAGGAGCCCATAAAAACATCTGCTCCCACCCTGGGAGAGCTGGATAATGAAACCACTATGCCCTGCAACACCAGAACTGTAACAATTTGTACTAAATTTCTCTGTGCCACTGGAATCTACCCAGTAGACTTTCAGAAGAACTTACCTGCATTTCACCTCTCTGGATTCCACAATAAAATCTCTGGTATACCTTGTAGTCACCATGTAGGACTGGAACAGGGTTCAGTTCATATCCCCTAATCCTAGGACTAGAGCTGTTGGTATTATAAGCCACTGTACCAGTTGGACTTTCCTAGCCGGACCTGAGGAAGGGTCCATCCATAACACACGGTCCTAGAGCCACAGAAATTGGCTCCATGAGCCCTGGAATCACTCAGGCTTGCCAGTAAGACAAGGGAGCAGAGCAGCCATCTTTGCCTCCCTTGGCACCAAGTACAATTCCCTGGCTATCATAATTGCCAGGGAGACTGGCACTGAACTCTCTTTGGACCAAAGACACACACCCAAGGGAACCCTTATCCAAATCAAGCCACATGTTTGTCCCTATGAACTG